AGACCGTGCGGACTCCTCCTCACCCCGGACAATGGCCAAGGGGTGGGGGGGCTGAGGGGGACCCCAGCTGCGGGAAAATGCTGATGGTCAGGCGACAGAGACCACTGACAGGACCGGGCTGTTGGGAACCAAGCGTGATCGCTTACATGGAAAGCCTCCGGCTTACAAAAGTGTCCCTGAAATGCCTGCTCCGTCCACGCACGTAGTCCTTTCTAAGAGACAGCAAAAGATAAAGGTCCCAGGGTCTCTCCTCGCTGCACCAAGAACTGGTCGCCTTTGGACTTTGAACCTCCGGAGACGTGGACTTTCAGGGACAACCTGGTGGTAGTCAGGATGCTCCAGAGATGTGGCGGCAGTGGCGCGCAGGTGCCGGGCTCCTGCTCTGCGCCCACCGGCGGAAGAGCGCGCCACTCCTGGAGTTGCACTGCCGACACTCTCTCCCGCAGGCGGTCGTCGTGGGGGCTAGGACAGCGTTCTTCAGCAAAAGAGCCGCTCCTCCGGGTGGGTGTCTTTGTTCAGCTCACCGGCCCTCTCCATCACTCCGGGAGGAGGAAAAGCCCGCTCCCGGTGCCCGCATCCTCCAGGCTCCGCAGTCACGCTCAAATCTCAATGACTCTCTCAAAGTGGGGGGGACGACAGGAAAGGGGCGGAGCAGGGACCAAGCGCTACGTCCTCTCCGCCCCCACCCCGCCCGCAAAACTCACCAGTGCGCACGGCGCCACGGGTTCCCGGACACGTTCCAAGTCCCCACAGGAGCCTCTGGGGCCTGCCGGACACACTGGCCTGTCTCTGGAGGTAGCGTGTCGCGAGGCTGGCCGGAAGGAGGAGTCGGACCTCCAAAGTCACACCAGTTGTCTACACGCCTCTCTAAAGCGGGGGAGGGATGCGCGATGGTGCCTCCACCGCCTGTCACCACGACCCGAGCAGCTTGTCCCAAACCCCCAGGGGAACCAAGATCCGAGTGTCCTGATCACCGGACGCAATGACACCGCGGCTGCGGCACTGAGAGTACACACGGTCCCCCAGGGGGATGGCGGGGTAGACCGGAGCAGCTGGGGAGACAGGAGGGGGATGCTCAGGTGGCGACGGAAGGCGGGGCGCGGTCCCAAGGGGAGCGGCTAAGGCGCCGACTCCTCCTCCGTGGTCCCTTGGTCACCCTCTTCCCCGAGAGACAGTCGCCACCGCCGCTGCCACCCGCAGGCTGCGGAGCGCACAGCTAGGGGAAGCTGGCCCGCTCTTGCGCGCGCACCCGGAAAGGGTGGGGGCGTCTGAAGAGAGTGGGGAGCGCGCGGGACCCGGAGCAGTCAAGTCATGTTGGCTGCTAAGGGCTGTGAGGGACCCTTGGGGTTCTCAGCGCTCTCTAAGCAGGCGGGTTTGTTCCATCCCGGCAGACGAGGAAGACGTCCCTTTCTCTTGGCTAAGCGCTCTGCTTTGCTTGGCCCGGAATGGCTAGAGGGAAAATCTGGCCTGGAGACTCGGATTCCGCTACTTTCGGAGCCAGGCCTTGTGTCCTTCTTGCTAGGGCCTTGGGAGATTTCTGCTTCTGTGCTCACCCACACTTCTGTAAACATCTTATTAGTAACACAAGGATTTATGGCCCTGCTGGGTCTCCACAACCACCTTCTTTTCCTGAGTCCCAGGAGTGCCTCAGACTGGAATCCTAACCTGCCCTCTGATTCTTTAATGTCTTAGGTCTGAGAAAGAAATCGGGCTGCCAACAAATCAGAATCAGTTGAGTGAATTCAGGGCTTCCACTTGACGCTTCCTACCCCACTAAAGTTTGCTGTTGATCGCTGGTTGGTTTTGTTTCCTTGGTTGGGCTTTAGGAGTCTAATTGGGATGCGGCGAGGGCGAGTGGGCAGGCTTGGGGCTTGGGCTTTGGGGTTGGGATGAGTTCAGGTGTTGAACTGAAGTTGAGTGCTTGCCTGGACCTCAAGTCCAGGATCCCCAGCTCTTCACAACCCAGGCTTGCTGGTGGCAAACCTATGAGGCCAGCACTGCGGGCAGGCGGGCGGGCGGGGGAGGCAGGAGGATCGATCGGGAACTCAAGATCCTCCTTGGCTACAAAGTGAGTTCCAGGTTGGCATGGGTTTCTTTTAAAGGGGAGAAGGGGGTTTTTTGTTTTTAGTTTGTTTGGACTTGGTTGGGATTTTTGGTGTTCCTTTGTTTATTCGGACTCTCTCAGACTGGACTGGCCCCTAACTCCTGATCCTTGACCCTCTTGACTTCACCCCCCCCCCCAAGTACTGGGATGGCCATGGTTATAGTCACCAAGCCTGGCTGTCCATTTCAATACAGGAATTTTTTTTGCTTGTTTGTTTGGGGGAATATATTTTCCACTGTTGTTGGTTGTTGTTTTAAACAACAACAAGAACCTTTACAGTTTTTCACATTGGAGGAGAAACACATGGAAAGCCAGGCTTGCTGGTGTGGTGGATATTGTCTGCTTCTCAGAAGTCTGAGGGAGACAGGAGGATCTTTCGCTCAAGGCCAGGCTGGACAATTTGGCAAGGGCCCTCCCTTAAAATAAAAATAAAAGGAAAATTACAGACATTTAGCTCACTGATACAGTGCTTTCTGAACAAATGCAAGGTCCTCAGTTTAATCCCCAAAGAGAGGGAGGTGTGTGTGTGTGTGTGTGTGTAAGTCCAAGGAGACCAGAAGAGGGTGTTTGGTTCCTTTAACTACAGTTACAGGCATGTGTGTGTGTGTGTGTATGTGTGTGTGTGTGAGTCATTGATGTGGGCCCTTGGGTCCTCCAATGATCTGAATAGGAATGGCCCCCACACATTCATGTGTTTGAGTACTTGGCACATAGGGAGTGGCACTATTAGGAGGTGTGGCCTTGTTGGAGTAGGTGTGGCCTTGTTGGAGGAAATGTGTCCCTGTGGAGGCAGGCTTTGAGGGCTCAAAAGCTCAAGTCTTACCAGTGTGTCTCAGTCTCCTTCTGCTGCCTGTGGACCAACACGTAGAACTCTCAGTTCCTTCTCCAGCACCGTGTCTGCCTGCACACCACCATGCTTCCCATCATGACGATAAAAGACTACACCACTGGACTGTGAGGGTAAGTGTTTTCCTTTATAGGAGCTGCCTTGGTCATGGTGTCTCTTCACAGCAATAGAAACCCTAACTAAGATAGATTCCAATTCTACTTCTCATGACAGATAAGTAAGATATCTCTCTAGTTCTACTTCATTAGAAAATACACTTAGTTGTGGGTGTATTTGTGCCACAGCCCATACGTGGAGGTCAGAAGACAACTTGCAGAAGTCAGTTCTCTCTTTCCACCCTGCAGGTCTCAGGGACTGAACCCAAATGTGCTTGGAAGCAAGTGCCTTTACCTCCTTCAGTCAGCCCATGGGCCCCCACTTCTATTTTTCATTTCTTTGGAACCTGCTCAACAAGATCCCTAAGGTATTGAATTTTTATAATCTACAGCGAGCTGAGTTTTAAAAAAACAATTTAATAAAAAGCCATATCAAAAAGCATGGAAGAAGCACTTTTAAACATCTTCGAGGTAAGAGGGAAGTTGGGTGCGAGGAAACAGTAGCTTCCCTGGCATTCAGATCATCAGGACGCGGTTGAGGTCAGGTTTCCACAGCTGTTCACTGAAGACCCAGGACAGCCAGTGCCAGGGACACAGCGAAGGGGGGAGGCATAGGCTGATGGGAGGGCTGCAGGGTAGCACTCTTATTTCACCAGATTTTTATATGACATGGGAGCCTTCAGATTTTGAGGTGCAAGGGAAATTTGGTTTGGTTGGGTTAGGTTTGGGTTTCGGTTTGATTTTTTAGCTCAATCTCCCTATGTAGCCCAGACTGACCTAAAAATTGTGATCCTCCTGCCTCTGCTTCTCAAGGGCTAGGATTCTAGGCAGGTGCTCTACCACTGAGCAACACTAACAACCCCTCACCGGGGTATTCTAGGCAGGTGCTCTACCACTGAGCCACACCCCCAGCCCCTCACTGGGGGATTCTAGGCAGGTGCTCTACCACTGAGCCACACGCTCACCCCCCCTCACTGGGGGATTCTAGGCAGGTGCTCTACCATTGAGCTGCATTCCTGGAACTGGATGGGGTTTTCACTTCAGGGTTTCAGGACCTGAGTGTGCCTGTATGAAAATTGTGGTTCCTGGTGTGTCCATGATAGTGGGCCACTTCTTGAGATTAGAATGTCAATAATCTTTTATGAACATAGATTCTCCACAGACTGCGTGTGGAAGCTGGGGAGAGAAAAGCCTGTAAATATATCATGAAGTCACCAGCTCATCTAGGCCACAGGGGCACATGAACTCTCTGACTAGCTAAGGTGAAAATCAAATGCTCTGGAGTGGAAACTTGCCTGTAAACTTTCCCATTCCTTGAAGTCTGTTCCCCTGTTTTTTAAAAGGTGTTTCCACAGTCTGGAAATTCTATCTGGGTTTGTAGCCATTTACTGATAGAAAAATGAAAAGTACCCACACAGGCTTTACAAGTGAATATTTGGCTACAAGTCAGTGCTGCTATTCAGGAGGGTTATGGACCCCTAAGTATGTCACTGGGTGTACCAGACTTTTTCTTTTGGGCTGCCAACTAGCTCCCAATCATGACATGGAGCTTATTATTAGTTTGAATGTTCAGCCTTAGCTTAGCTCTTATTGTAATCGGTTTCTCTTTATCTACCTTTTGCTTTGGGGCTTTTTACCTTTCTGTATGCCTTAGTTTCCTGCTTAATCCAGTGTCTGTCTGTCTGGTGGCTGCCTGGTTTCTAGCCCCAGATGTGTCCCTCTCTTTCTCCCTCGTTCTCTTCTCTCTCTTTTCATGAGCCTAGATTTCTCCTCCTATTTGTTCTCTCTGCCTGCCAGCCCCACCTATCCTTTCTCTGCGTAGCTATTGGCCATTTGGCTTCCTATTAGACCAATCAGGTGCCTTAGGCAAGCAAGGTGAAACAGCAGCACATCTCTTCATAAGTAAACAAATGCAGCAGAAACAAATGTAACACATCTATGCATTCACAACAGAAACAAATGTAACACACCGTGGAGTCACAGATAATGATTTACGGACCAGGCTCAGATATAGGCTAAAGACAATTTATTTCGGGGAAAAGTCACTTACAGAAGAAGCAGATGGCCGCCGCAGGTTCCCACTCTAAGGATGTACACAGGCTGCTCTTCTGTGACCCAACCGGAAGCAAGGGAGAGTGCTGTGGTCCTACCAGATCTAGTCGGACCCTCTGTCATATCTGCACCTGTAACCATACCCAAACGGGCATGGACAGTGCTACAGGTGTGGGCTGAGTGGATGTCTTACTACAACACACATTCACATAGTTAAAGTACTATTCCACACATAAACAATGTAACACACCTTTAGACAGTTAATGTTCTACAGAAGAAACAACTGTAACACATCTCTACACAGTTAAATATTCCACAAGAACTAGGGACAGGCTTTGAGAGTTTCTAATCTCGCTCCATTTCCCACTCAGTTTCCCTTTGCTTTCCGTGTGGGGTTGAAGATGTGACATGCCATCTTCCAGATCTGACTACCAGTTGCCATGCCACCCTCAAGGCTTCCCCATCCATTAGACTCTCTGCTGGAACCATAAACCAAGGTAAACTCTATTTCCATAAGGTGCTTTAGCAAATAGAAAGTGACAATACAGAAGTTTGGACTAGGGGTAATGGGGATGTTGCTGTGAAGATCATGACTGTACTGGTTTTTGGAGGAATGTGGAATACTTAGAAGTTTGAAGTAGGAAAGTGGTTGAATGCTGTAGGCAGAGCCTAACAGGTCCTTCTAATAGGAGTCTAGGTGACAGTTTTGCTGAAAGTAAATGTTGATTATAGAGACCTGGCTCACAGAGTTTCCAAGGGAAGCAAGGACTTTAAGAGCAACTGGGCTAGAGGCCACTCGTGCGATATTTTGACAAAGAATCTGACTACCTTCTGACCTTTCCTAAGAATTTAGGTGAGGCTGAATTAAAAAGTAATGAGTACCAATCCTTTACATAAAATGGTGTGGTATGAACTATTTACATCACCTTATATCCTTTTAAATTGTCTAAGCCAGCTTGGGTGGTGTATAACTATAATTCCAATGGTTGGAAGACTGAGGCAGGAGGATCATACAAGAGTTTCAGGTCAACACTGACTTAAGAGTAAGACCCTGTCTCAAAACAAAAATTGGGAACCAAAAATAAAAACACAGGGGCTCATCTCTTTATCACTAACACTTACAGGATGTAGTTGCTATGGGAATCATTGGTGCTGCACTGTTTAGGGAGCAATGATAAGGGAAGTTAAGGTTAGGACATGCTCAGTACAGAGGGTTGTGATGTGTGTTTGCCACGGGGTGCTTCTGGATGTCAGAGGGCAGCTTCGGTCCTCACCGTCTCCCTTGTTTGAGCCAGGGTCTCTTGTTTACTGATGTGTATGCCAGGCTATCTGTCCTGTTAGCGCCTCAGGACCCTCCTGTCTCCACCCTCCATCTCACCATCTGAGTGTTAGGATGACAGACACACGCTATCGTGTTGAGCTCTCGGTGGGTTCTGAGGACTCTCCTCAGGTCTCATGCCTGGACAGTAAGCACTTTCCCCACCCACTACACCATCTCTCCCAGCCCCTCTCTTCCCCTAGCATTTCCTGTTTGCAGTTGGTTGGGTCTGAGGATCTACAGGACTGAGTGTACATAATAAGAATGTAAGTAGTTGAATATCTGTTGTGAGCCGGCAGTTCTGAAGGCAGTGGTGTCAAGAGAGCCAAGGCTGGCAGAACTATCACATGGCTTCAGAGCCTGGTGGAGAAAAGACTCAGGATGGAGGCCCACATGTTTATATGAACGAAGATTGAATGGATAGGAAAGAAATGAATTAAATCAGTTCTGCTTGCTGGGTAAATCTACAGAGCCACATCAACTCCATCCACACAAATGAAAGAGCATCACAGAGCCCTGTCCTTCAGTCTCCCAAAAGGGATGATGATGTTCCCCCAACCAATAGCTGCCTCTGTCTTTACACCAATCTGCCTCAATCCTGCTAGAGAAACCAGCAAAACTACATATGTCTGTCTGAGTAGTCTATCACCAAGAGGTGTGGACTGTGTTCCATTTCTGTCACCAAGAAACAAATTAGTCCTTGACAAAACACCACACACACACGCAGAGAGAGAAAGAGAGAGAGAGAGAGAGAGAGAGAGAGAGAGAGAGAGAGAGAGAGAGACTTATTTTTATTGATAATGTTGTGAGACAAGGTCTTGCTATGTAGCCTAGGCTTGCTTGGAACTCACTAAGTAGCCAAGACTAGCTTCAAACTGACTCAGACTCCCTAGTGCTGGGAACCAGAGCCGTGTACCACCACACTTGAATGTTTTAAGATTTTAAGCTAAGAAATTGAGGCTGATTGATGGAGAGCAGTACAAGTGAGGCCCTATTCCAAAAAGGAAAGAAAGGAAGAGCAGGAAAAGGAGGAGGAGAATAAAGGACAGAGAAGAGGGGAGGGGGAAGGAATTATCTCAGATGGATCCTCAGTTTTTTTCTTATTTATGAAACTCAGTTAAACTACAAAAAAAATCTGTGTTCTGGAGCCATGATTCCCAGTGCTCTGAGTCTGGGATCATAGTGCTCTGGCTATCAGTAATCTATCAATGGATTGATGACTGAATGGACTACTGGGAGTAGTGGAATTGTATGCCTGTCCTGAAGTTCCATTTCAGTGCCCTGTGTCCTGGGCTGGAGGATTGTTCAGAAGGTAAAGGACTGGCTGTACAATCCTGAGGACCAGAGTTAGCATCCCCAGACCCCACATAAAACCAGGCACTGGAGAACACGGATCCATGATCCCAGTACTCCAACATAGAGATGGGACACAGAGACAGAGACTCCCCTGATCTTCATGGGGAGCTAGCCTGATGTACACAGTAGTAAGCAACAAGACTCCTCCTCAAACAAGGTGGAAGGTGACACCAACACATGAGGTCCTCTGACCTCCACGCATGTGCTATGGTACATGCAAGACCCCCACACACACACAGCATAAAACTTTTTAATCTTTAAAAACTTTTTTTAAAAAAAGTAACATCCCAGCCTAGCATCCCATTCCTCCAATCAAAGAAATCCAAATATGTGCTGCTTATGCACATCCATCTAGGATGCTACGGCTCAGTGATTGCTAACCCTCCTTGTAACTATTCACTCACATTTCTGCCACTTGGTGCAAGATAAGTAATGTTAAAAGCCATATTCTGTGTCTGTGTCGTGGCTTACATAGTAACACTGGCTAAATAAGTAAATGACTGACTGAGCTGAAGAAACACATGAGTAGGGGCTGGGAACATGGGTCAGTGGGTAAGGTGCTTGCTATGCAAGTATGGTGACCTGAGTTTGATCCCCAGAACACATATGGAAGGAAGGAAGGAAGGAAGGAAGGAAGAAAGAAAGAAAGAAAGAAAGAAAGAAAGAAAGAAAGAAAGAAAGAAAGAAAGAAAGAAAGAAAGAAAAGAAAACTGGGCAGGTATCTGTGATGGATAACAAGTCGTCAATTTGACTATTTCTTTCTGATGGCAGTCCACACAGCAGTACATGAAAGAAGGAAGCTTTTTGTGTTTTGTCAATTTGTCCTCACTCTTAACAAGATCATCCATTCTGCCACCGAGGCATCCCTTCATTGTTATGAGATGGGAACATACTTCGCTGGGATTCCATCACAGACTGAAGACCAGCTGAGATAGTCAGCCTTGTAGCCTGAACATCTACAAGATTCTTGGCCTTTCCATCAGGACACAGCCATTGTTGAGCTAGTCAGAACACAGTCCCCAAGCAACTCTAATAAATCCCATACGTATGGGATTTAATATAAATGTGTATATATGTGTATATGCATGCATATAGTAAATATGCATATATTTTAAATATGTATATGTAACATATATTTGTGTAATATGTGTGTATAGGTAATATATAATGTGTGTGATATGTATATAATATGTATGGATGCATGTATGTGTGATGTATATATATTAAATGCATATATATGTAAATGTTAATATGTATGTATGTATAGATTCTATATATATACAATATCTCATGTGTGTATGTGTGTGTGTCCTATGAGTTCTGTTCCTGAAGAGAACCTTGACTACCATGGTGGCACATGTCTGTAATCCCAGCACTGTGGAGACAGAGACAGGAAATACCTAGAGTTTGCCTGACAGTCATGAAAGTCAAATTGGTGAGCTCCAGGTTCACTAAGAGACCCTACTCTTTTTGGTTTTGTTTGTTTGTTTGTTTTCAAGACAGGGTTTCTCTACGTAGCCCTTGTTCTGTCCTGGAGCTCACCCTGTAGGGCAGGTTGGCCTCGAACTCAGAGATCACCTACCTCTACCTCTCAAGTGCTGGAATTAAAGACATGCATCTCCACTGCCTGGCTTCTTAACTTTTAACTACTGCTGGGTTTACAGTACATGGCATGAATTTTTCTACCACAGAGCAGGCCTTAAAACCAATCCAAGAACAGTTTATTAATCCCAAAACAGATGTGCCACTCCTCGGTGGGCACATTTTGCACGTCAGGTTGGAATTGTAGTTTGCAGGGTTCACGGTTCTCGAAGCGTCTGCCCTTGCCTATGCTGAGTCCGCACAAGGCTAAGCCTACCATCAGCCAATAATGGATCAGCGACGGCCTCATGAGGCCCGAATCCTTCATGCTAAACTATTGGCAACTGGTAGATTCTGGAGGAGGGACAGCCATTGCCTTCATCTGTGTACCCAACAGAGCGTCTGCCAGGCTACAAACGACAGTTCCAAATCTGATGTCACATAGATTGTGCCTGTTAAAATCAGTGTGTCGCAAAACAAAAAGGCATGGATGTGGGGAAGGGATCTTCCGAGAGGATGGAGGCGGCAGGAGTGGAAGGAGAAAGGCCGACTCTAAGAGGAAACGGAATGCATTATGTGTGTGCACATGGAAAACTGCCAGTGAACACGTGATCAGGGTGAACAACAAACAACAGCAGGAACGATTTTACAGGTAAAGGCCTAAGGATGTATCTCTCTAATATCTTCACCCTTGCCTGGCCCGTGGGAAGCCCTAGAGTTAATCCCCAGTATCAAAAAGGGAAAGGAGAGAGGAAGGAAGAAAATAGGAAAAGGGGGAGGACAGGGGAGAGGCAAGCAGGGAGGATGGGCGGGAGAAGAAGAGGAGAAGGGGGAGGAGAGGGCAATGGGGGAAAGAGGTGGACAGAGGAAGACAGAGGAGAGGGAATATACATGAGGAGGTTCTGCCCCGTATGGGACACCAGACTTGACCCACAGTGGCTCATGCCTATGTCTTACCTGATGTATAGACCATTTCTACTGGACTTTAGTTCTGTCTGCGATTACATATGCCTAGGCTTTGATTCCTATAAAAAGAAATACAAGAAATATTTGAATGCGATGAAAAGAGAAAGCCTCTTTGTGACCAGTCCGCAGAGTATGTGGGAGAATTTCTTTATAGATATTCATAAACCTAACATAAAAACATCTGCCCTGTGCCTTCCAGACCCATAATAACTTCACAGAGCTTAGTGTATTCATTCTTCAGCACAGACGTACAAAAAAAGTCACGTGAACTGACACTTTCAGGGTTCAAAAGCCGTTGCTTTTCTACTGGAGCCTGCCTCTTACAAATGACTAGGTTTTATTCTTAACATAACCAGTGTGGTTTTATATGGGACCACAGTCAGCTCTGCAATACCCCTCCTCTCTCTCTCTCTCTCTCTCTCTCTCTCTCTCTCTCTCTCTCTCTCTCTCTCTCTCTCCCTCCCTCCCTCCTCTCCCTCCCTCCCTCCCTCCCTCCCTCTCTCTCTCTCCCTTCCTCCCTTCCTCCCCCTCCTTCCCTCCCTCCCTCTTTCCCTCCCTCCCTCCCTCCCTCCCTCCTTCACTCTCTCCTTCCATCCCTCTTTCTCTCTCTCTCTCTCTCTCTCCCTTCCCTCCCTCCCTCCTTCCCTCCCTCCCTCCCTCCCTCGCTCTCTCTCCCTTCCTCCCTTCCTCCCCCTCCTTCCCTCCCTCCCTCTTTCCCTCCCTCCCTCCCTCCTTCACTCTCTCCTTCCCTCCCTCCCTCTCTCTCTCTCTCTCTCTCTCTCTCTCTCCCTCTCCCTCTCTCTGGTGGGGCAGGAGTTAATATCAGGTGTCTTTTTCAGTAACTCACCACCTTATTTTTGTCCCCTTAGTGTTTGAAACAAGATCTCTCGATGAACCCCATTCAGCATGACTCACTGGCCACCAAGCCCCAGGGACATGCCCATCTGCCTTTCCAGAACTGGGATTACAGGCACTAGTTGCCAAGCCCGGCTTTTTATGGACTTAGAATCACCATGGAAACACACCTTCAGGTATATTTGTGAGGGTGTCTCCAGAGAGATTTAGCAGAGGGAGAGAAAAAAAAAGACCCTCCCTGAATGTGGACAGAGCATCCTACAGGTTGGGGTCCTGGTCCACATGAAAAGGAGGAAGTGACCTGAGCACCCACGTTCTTTTCTCTCTGCTCCAGTTCTTACCACCACGCCTTCCCCACCATGGTGGACTTCATCCTTGAACCGTGAGCCACAAGAAACCTTTCCTTCCTGAAGTCGATTCTGCCAGGAATTGTGTCACAGCTATGAATAAAGAACTGCTGGGGTTTTGTAGCATCCAAAGCAGCGAACATCACTTAAAAGATGACAATTTTCATCACTCCAGCAAGTTCCCTTCTGTACGCTTATAACTAACTGGGTCTCTACCGGGTCTCTCTAAACTCTATTTCCAGAAACAAGCTGATTTGGTTTGCATATAAATGAAGTTATGCATTATGTACTTTTTCTTTCACTCAAAACAACTATTTAGATATTAATTCATATTGTAGCATATATCAATAATTCATTCTTTGTACTGTGATTTAAAAAAATATTCAATTACCTGGAGACATTCCAGTTTCTTTACCAAGACCTAATTTTTTAATCTATTTTTCATACTGCTGGGATTGAAGCTGAAGTCCTCGAGTGTGCTAGGCAAATGTTCCACCACTGGATTATATTCCTGGTCCTCTTGTCCTTTAAGACAGGAGCGCACTAAGTTCCTGAAGGTTGCCTGGACCTCACCCTGTAGTTCAGACAGGCCTTGGATTTATGATCCTCCTCTCTCAGCCTCTGAGGTAACCAAAGTTACACACCTGAGGGAGCAGAGCCATGTTAGAGACCTTAGAGATTTCTGTTAGGAATAAAACAGCTAAGAACATTCATGGGTAACCCTTTTTTGTTCAAACATGTTTATTGCATCTTACTTGTGTGTGTGTGTGTGTGTGTGTGTGTGAGAGAGAGAGAGAGAGAGAGAGAGAGAGAGCACATACATATGTGTATGTATACATGTTCTCTGTCCTGTACGTAAAAGTCAGAGGACAACTTGGGGGAGTCAGTTCTCTCCTTCCCCCATGGGGTCCTGGGAATCAAGCCTGTGCTGTCAGACTTGGTGTGTGGCGCTTTCCCTCACTGACCCATCTTACGATCCTGGCAAACCTTTATTGGAACATATTTCTGTGTGTCCTGAGTTCATGCCTAGCCATATAACTGCAGTAAGACATTGTAGACACATTTTCCTTCATAAGAAACCACCAAACTATATTACAACCTTGCCAATATGGCTTTATTTTTCCATTTAGCCATTGTTGTGTGTAAAAAGTGGCTCCTTATTGTGCATTTGTTGCCAGTGTGATTTTTAGACAGGGTCTCACTTTGTAGCCCAGGCTAGCCTTGAACTTAAAGCAAACCTTCTACCTCAGACTACCAAGAATTGGGATTTATCTCAGGGTGTCTACTGCTGTGATGAAACACCATAACAACAAAAAAAAAAAAAAAAGAAAAGAAAACAAGTTGGGGAGGAAAGGGTTTATGTGGCTTATACTTCTACACTGTATTCTATAATTGAAGGAGGTAAGGACAGGAACTCAAGCAGGGCAGGAACCTGGAGGCAGGAGCTGATACAGAGGCCATAGAGGGGAGCTGCTTACTGGCTTGTTCAGCCTCTTTTCTTACAAAACCCAGGGATGGCACGATCCACAATGCATTGGACCCTCCCCCATCAATCACTAATTAAGAAAATGCCATACAAGCTTGTCTGTGGCCCCATCTTGTAAAGACGTTTATTTAACTGAGGTGCCCTCCTCTGAGATGACTTTAGCTCGTGTCAAGTTGACATAAAACTCTCCAGCACAGGATTACAAAGGTCAATTACCATGCCTGGCTCATTTTCACTTCGTCTGTTAAGGAATTATAACAAACACTAGTCTATTTTTAGGTCACTCAAAGATCTCCTTCCAGGAAGCATTTGGTCAAATACCTTCCTGTTTTCTTTCCCTTCCCTCCTCTCTGCTCCCTTTCCTTCCTTCTTCCCTTCCTTTGTTTTGTTTTTAAATGGGTGTCCTTACATAGTCCAGGCTGTTTTCAAACTTGTGATGCCCATACCTCAGCCTCCAAAGTGCTGGGATTTTAGGTTTATGTGGATTGTGTGGTTTATGCCACCACATCTGGCCTCATTTCTATTTTTCAATAAGCTGTTTATTATTGCATTGAATCATAAGGGTTCTTTTTATATTTCATATGGGAGTATCATTCTTCTATGTGTGATAAACAAAATATGATGGTTAATTTCAGTACAAAGTGTCTTAGATGCCGAGCGTTGGTGGCAGCACTCAGGAGGCAGAAGCAGGTGGATCTCTGTGAGTTCGAGGCCAGCCTGGTCTGCAGAGTGAGTCCAGGACAGGCTCCAAAACAATACAGAGAAACCCAGTCTTGGGGAAAAAAAGTCTTAGATGAGTACAAGCTTTAGATACACTGGAGACAACAGGATCCCCTGCTCCAGCAGCTGACCGTTGGATGCCACACATTTAAATCAAAAGTTAATGTCAGCTCAGGGAAATACTAAGTGCTATCTTTAAGGGTTGGGGTGGGGTGGTTTTAGGTAGACGTTTAGCCGGTTGTGCCCACGCAGGAATAATAGCACCTTTACAAGACCAAAAATCTGCTAAGCAGGACATGGGCAATAATGATGAGAAAGGAAGGAAGGGGAGGAGTGAATGAAACCTAGGAGAGTGTGGGAAAGATTGTACCTTTTCCAGTATCCAGCTAATGAGGAAGGATTTGTGGCACATCAGGTTGGCATCTAAATCCGAAATCTCCTAAATAAACTGCCTTACTTTGGCCACTCTGGGTCCAAAGGGCTCGTTATTATGCATAGAACCCTGTTCCCTACTTATGCCATTGGCAGTGGGGACTGACTTGGTTTATCCTGGTCATGAAAACTAATAGCACTAGCAATGATCAGAATCTGGTTGTCTCTAGTAAGTAGTTAATGTGAGCTAGCCTAGATTTCTGGAGGTGGTTAACATGTGTCATATTAAGTTCATGTACTAGTGTTCTGTGTGTGTGTGTGTGTGTGTGTGTGTGTTCATTAGTTTTCTGTTGCTGTGATAACGCATCATGACCAGAAGCAACTCAGAGAAGAAAGGGTTTATTTTAGCTTATGGTTCCAGGAGACTACAGCCCATAAGAGTAGGTCAGGCATGGAAGCAGGAGCAGGAGGCTGGGCTGGCTGATTACAATTTCATGCACACGCAGGAAACATAAACAGGAAGTGGGGCCAAGCTGTAAGTCCTCAAAGCCCACCCACAGTGATGCACTTCCCCCCAGGACAGCACCTTCTTGAGTCTTACAACCTTCTTGAACGGAATCACCAGCTGGGGACCAAATGCTCCAATACATGAGCCTTTGGGGGTCATTTCTCAATCAAACTATCACAAAGTGGGAGGGCAGAATGGTTGGTGAGAGAAGCAGAACCGGCTAGGAATACTACGGGTCTAGAAACTTCTTCCTTTTCTTTCAAATCTGACTTCTGTACATGACCGGCAGGAACAAAGGGAAATTGAGAAGAAAGTAAAGAACATTCTAGGAAGTTATTAGCCACCTGCAACTCCCACCAGGACCTAGATGAGGCTATTATAGTCTCACAGGTAATGAATTAAACATCCCTTGACCTGAGCCAATAGTCAGCCTTTTAAGTCCTACCGAGTCCAGAAAACGAAGAATCTGCCTGACATCCACAAATTGGTAAGAGAGGAAACCATGCCTTGTTCCTTCACAGTCACCCTCCTTAATCAAATAACAGATGCACTCATTGAAGGAGCCTGAAGATATCACAGGTTGTGGGTCAGCAATTGTGGCCATTTGTCCTCATCAAAGGGAACAGCCCTGCTACCAAATAAATGAGTCCTGGCTCCTACCAACAAGGGAGACGTCTGCCTCCTATCCCAGCTCCTGGCTAAGGCTCATTGCACCCAGCAGAGCTATAAAAGACAGCAGGATGTAGAAACATCAGCCTTTGAGAAGAGGATTAACATATTCAGAGACCTGGAGTTTATTCTAATTAAATTAATCCCCTGGATCAAGTTTGGATGGGGAGAGGGTGGAGAGGAAGTGTGGAAAGATAGAGATACTTCCAAACAACTGGAAACTCAAAAGGCAAAGAGTAGGGGCTTGGGACTAAATGGAGTCTATCTGGCTGTTTGTGCTGCCTGGTCCAGCCTCCTACCAAGGTGCCCAGCAGAGAAAATGAGGAAGAATGTTTTAAGAGGTCTTAATAATGTTCAACAGGGAAGCGGGGAAGTGTCAACTCAAGGTCACTGCATCCAGCACACACCAGGAACTCCTTGGTTGTAAATCATTAAGTCTGAAGGGCTCAGTTGCCCGTCTTGCAAGACTGCTGGTTAAAGTCCCCCTCCAGACACGATTGGTTATGTTGCGAGGCATTCCCGTGTTGCAGGGCTCAGGGTTCAGGGAGAAAATGTCAGAGCAGCCAGTGCCATGGAGGAGATCATTCAGTAGAGTGCTTTTCAATGGTTTATCTTGGAGGCTTTGCCCTGACCTTGAACAGGTGTGATGGTATGCACTTGTAGCCTTAGCACTAGGAAGGTGGAGACAAGGATTCCAGGACTCTCCAGCCAGCTGTTCTTGCAGAATCAGTGAGCTTGTGTATCAGTGAGAGACCCTACTCAATAGGTAAGGTGGAGGATGATAGAGGAAGACACCTAACTTAGACTTCTGGTCTCCACATATATGTGTACATGCATTGGCGTACACACATACAAAAACATGTATACACATATACTACAACAACAACATGTAATCTCACTACCTCAGGATGCTCCAGAAATCCTATATATAAACTCATGAACTATAGATAAACTCAGAAACCTTATAAATCAGAAAACCAAGGCTAATAAAAGTCCCTTATGGTTTGAATACTCAGTCCCCAGCTGTTGGTGCTGCATTGGAAGGTTCCAGAACCTGTGGAACTGTGATCTAGCTAGCAGAAATAAATTGCTGAGAGTGTGCCTTGAAGGTAGTATCTGCATCTGGTTCCCACCTGTGCTCTCTCTGCTTCTTGACGGCTGCCTTGGTGTAACTAAACAGCCCCAAGCGCCCCTTGCCGTAGACTAACATATTCCAGTCCCAATGCCTTCCCCCCACAATGTGTGGAACCTTCTGAAACTGTGAGCCAAGTAAATCTCTCCTGCTTTAAATCGATTCTGTCAGGTATTCTGTCATGTATACAAGAAAACTAATGCAATTATGTGCTTGGCCCAAGGTCACCCATAAACGGAAAAATACAGACCTGAACACAGAATGCCAAGCTCAGAGGCCATGCCAAGGATGGTGAGATGGCTCATTCAGCAAAGCACTTACCAGATGCTGTGGCTAGAATGAGAAACGTCTTCCCCAGAAGGCTCATGTGTTTGTATAGTTGGTCCCCAGTTGGTGTC